AGAAGATTGACTGTTTTCTGTTACTTTCTTCACATTGTAGTATGAAAACCCACTATTTCACTAAATTAAATAGTGCTTAACTGTAAATATATGTAAACAACATCATCATCTGTGACTATACAATCCAAGTAGGACCTAAGCCTGTTTAACATCATCCATGTGACTATATGTGACTAAAATCCAAACACTTTTGTTTAAATTATATTGAAAATCAGTGTATAATATCAGTACTATTATTTATATTTGATATTTTTTTAAAAGGAAGCTAGTCTTATTGCTAATGTTAGATTTTAAAATATTTTTAAAATTATCTCCAAAGTCAATACATTTGTTCAACGAAGTAAAACCTTAAAATGTTCTGACATTTTTCTTATGCCATTTAACACTTCCAAGTGAAGTGGCTATGCGCCAGTACCAGTGAAAACCCTCATGATTGATTGCTATTGATATTCTCAAGTAGTCGTTGAAAGGTTCTCAAAGGCTTAACATGAAATTTAAGTAGACTTGTCAACAAAAAGTGAAAATGTAATCGTTTAAAATTTCTCTACTAGTTCAGAATTTCCACACTTGGAGAAGAGTTAAAGAAAAAAACATCTATGATTAATAAAGTCGAAAAAAATTTAGAAATTCGAAAAATTTCAATTTCTTTCAATACTTAAACCGAAGCATTTCGTAATAAAAGATTTTTTTATTTTCAATGCCATTTTTTCACTTTGAAAAAATTTCACAAATCAAATGATAAAATCTTCTTTAAAAAAGAAGGCAATAATACCGCGTTAATGTCATAATATTGTGCATTTGGTCAAAAATAACGTCCTTGTTATCGTTGGGTATTAAGAAACACATTTTCGTAACAATCGTTGATCAATATGGATATATAAATTAAAGTGTCTTAAGACGACATGCCGTGCACCTTTCACTAACTTAAGTTGACACTTCATTTGTACTAACTTACAAGGAGTTACCTACGTATGCTTCTCGAGGAGACCTTAAGATCTGCAAAATATTGCAATCTTAACGAATTGATAAATGATGATGCCATTGTGTGAAAATTATGGTAGTTCACCTTTATCAAGTTGTAAACTTACTTTTATCGTTTTACTTAAAAAATGGTTTACGTGCTGAACTTGAATTTTTTTCCAATAGTTCACTTAAGCCACATACTTATAAATTGAAAATAATTTCTCTTACTGAGGACATTCCTTACGAATATTTCTTTCACATCATTAAGTGAGCTAATGTCATGTTTCATCACATCTACACAAGGACAATACTAAACGCATCCCCTTTATGATGTTTCTATCATTCCGCTTGATTAATTTAGCAGAAATTTCTAAGTGTGACATGACACTTATAAATTTTACACCGTTAATCAATTTTATGACTGACAGTCATATTATTGCGCTCCTGTGATTTCCAAGTCACTAAGCTTAAATTTTATTATCATCTTCGAGATACATTCTTGAATCGCACACAATGCAGCATCTTTGACTAATGAAGTTACTCTGCATCTCATAAAAATTTTTTCCAAATTTTTTTTCTTATGAATACAAAACTTTCATGTAATATTTTAAAGTATTATGTATAAAAAACAAAATTACAATGACATTGCATCATTTATATCATTATTTTATATGACATGAAATTGGTATGTATTTTGTATGAGTAAATACTGGAGCTTTGTCTCCAGTATCCTGTCATGCTATAGATGCTATAGATGAACACAATACTGTAATTATCAGAGAAATAATATTATTTGTGGTGCTCTTTTATTGGTTGCAATTAGTATCTTTTAGTGCCTGAACAAATTAGTCTACATGGTCCTTGCAATACTTACGTCTCACTATATATTGTTATACATTGTTTATATATACTTTCCGCTCAAAAAGTATCCGGATTTTGTTGTTTGTTAACTACTCTTTAAGTAATAGACCTTTTTCAAACATTTTTTTATGTTAGTACACCCTTTCTTGACATATAGGACAAATTTGAGCGCCATCTGTCAATTAGTTTGATTACAGCAGCTGTTAATGTGAGACTACCTTAAGTGCATTTAGCGATTTTTACTATGGAATATTCTTGTCGTACGCGATTTTTTGACCAAACACGGCACCACTGTCATCGCTCAGGCACCATATTCGCCAGATCTGGATGCGTGCGACTTTTTCCTGTTCTCGAAACTCAAATTGCCCCTTCGTGGTAAGCGTTTTGAGTCGATAGAATCGGTAGAAGAGAATTCGCTGAAGGAACTAAAAGCCATACCTTCACGGGCCTACGAAAAGGGTATGGAAGATTGGGTTAAGCGTTGGCATATGTGTATCGCATTAGAAGGAGCATATTTTGAAGAAGATAAAATAAATTTGGAATAAACTTTAATTTTGTGTGTTCTATTTACAAAATTCGAATACTTTTTGAGCAGAAGGTATATAAATATTTTTCTTCAAATATAAAACAAGGAAGAACCCTTTTTGACTCAAGTAATGTACTACTAATTATTGTAACAATTCATTCCTTAGTAGTATGATCGATCTATATTATTTCAGAAGAATTGTAACGAAAAAAACTTGAACATCATAGGTCCCAGAAGTTCAAGTATATTATTCTTTAACTAATATTTAAATTAACTACATTCATTGTTGATTCTTATGGCTCCCAAGATTATAGTTTCCAATTCTGTCGCAAAACAAATAGAGTTTGACTGGTCAATAATGTAGGTAATTGATAGAGACCTATACAAATGCGAGGTTTACTTGTAAATAGCTTAAATATACCAAAAACATACAATACTGAAGAGAAGCATAAAGAAATGTTCCCCGTACGCTTAGTCCAATAAATTAATATCGGGATATCATATTAGTCGATTATTGTGACACAATGATTTTAATGTTGGAAAATAGACCAAATAACTACTGCAGATTAAAAAACGATTTACAGTTTTAATCCTTTTATTGTTTTTTAAAAAATTAGATCCTAGATTGTGAAGCCGTATTTAGACATAGACAGAGTATTGACAAAACAGATATTACTGGCTTTCCGGATTTTCTTCACAATAACGACTTGTATTATTTTAAAATAAGGTTAACATTTCACTATATGATAAATTATAACACAATCACCTTTTAGTAAACATACGATAATTAATTTGACTATAAGTTAGATGGCAAAGTTTTCAATACAAACTTATAGTTAGAAATTTAAAGAAGTCAGCTTCTTCAAAGTTGCCTATCAATTCCAGAACTCTTTAATTTTTTATAAATGCATCCAAAATAAAAGATCTGTGAGATCGCTTGATCTCACAAGTACCTTCTGCTCAAAAAGTACTCGGTTTTGTAAATAAAACACACAAATTTAAATTTTATTTCAAATTTTTTTTATCTTCTTCAAAATATGCTCCTTCTGAAGCGATACACATATGCCAACGCTTAACCCAATCTTCCATATACTTTACGTAGGCCCGTGAAGGTATGGCTTTTAGTTCCTTTGGCGAATTCTCTTTTACCGATTCAATCGACTCAAAACGCTTACCACGAAGGGTCGATTTGAGTTTCAGGAACAAAAAAAATTCGCACGGATCCAAATCTGACAAATATGATGCCTGAGCGATGACAGTGGAGCCGTGTTTGGTAAAAAAATCGCGTGTAACAAGAATTTCCTATAGTAAAAATCGCTAAATGCACTTGAGATAGTCTCACATTAACAGTTGCTGTAATCAAACTAATTGACAGATGGCGCTCAAATCTGTACCATATGTCAAATTTGTGCTTAACAAAAAAAACTTTTTGAAAAAGGTCTATTACTTAAGGAGTAGTTAACAAACAACAAAATCCGGATACTTTTTAAGCAGATACCACAATCGTTCAGATTCTACGAGTCCTATTCTGACGAATTGCAATCCTTCTAGCAGTAACCGACATTGTATCTATATTCTGAAACTTAAAGAAGGAAATTATTGAACAACGCCAGGAATAGACATTCCAGAATAGTACTTGATTATTTTCAGAGTTTAAATTATATCGAATATCAGCCGGAAAATTACTTCATTATTTATATTATTTGATTCAATAAAAAAAAAAAATAGTTCACTACTCTTTGAAGTTTTCCTCATAAAATTAATTGTGCTACGGATTTTTCGCCTCTCAACTACACATATTCCCAAACAACGTTTTCATACATAAAAGGATTGAGTGATGTTAAATGCAATTATATTGACATATCCTGCCTAGGTTGGTTGCTTAAGAAAAAGTGCAATTCAATCTATAAATTTCACTTTTTATCGTAACTCAACTTCAAATAATTGAATAGTCTGTGAATTATATATAGAAAAGGGGACGATAATTGCTTACACGGTAATCCCAAACGGTTTGAATTTCAAAGTAAGAAATCCTTTCGATTTCAGAACTTTAAAAAAAGAACAAAATGAACTTCCTTCCGTTTCACTAAATTTTTATTTATATTTAACAAGATTAACGAAAGGCTTGCAAAATCGAAAATAAAAAATTACAGAATACTTTCACAAAAAACGATGCACAGGTTTAAGAGGTTTTGTTGCAAAATACGCCAACACTATTAAAAAATAGGCACCTTCGATTCGTTGCGGGGATATTAAAATCCTATTTACACATTTACAAAATATTTGAGACTGCAAAATGCGCATTCACAACTCGATAATACCATTAGGGATGGTTGCTCTAAACAGAGATAAAAGCAACCTAGGAACAGGATCAACAGGATCAACAGTGACAGAGAAGAGCTACCTGCTGTTATCAATTGTACAGATTGAATTGCGGAGCCCATAAATAAACGTAAATAAATAAATGAAATATAATATCTAATAAAGCCAATGTTGATTGGAAATTATTTAAACTCCCCGAAAATGTATAAAATTGCAACCGAAGTATATTTATTCACACATGAACGTGAGATAAAATTTTATTTTGTTAAGAGAATTTTAATATTGTTTTCTTTTTCTTCAAGCGAAAGTATTAGAAACTATAGAACCGTTTTCTTGATCAATGCAAGTCATATGCAAATTATGTCATTTTTATTAGGACTGCTTATGTACGAAGGGTAAATATAACATTAAAGCCCTTCGTCAATTTTAATATAATATCACCTTGCAACTCGAATTCGGACTCAGTGATATTCGAATGTACCGAATATTTCCGGATTAATGTAGAAATTAGCACCTTAAGCATTAGCATTGCATATTTCCGTCCTAAAACAAAAAAAAATATATAAAAATATTTTATGAGAACCACTGAACGGAGTATTAACTTACCCACGCAACTTCTGGGCCCAGCACTGAATGGTATATAGCTGTAGTAATGTCTCTTGGAAACTTCTTCAGGTAGAAAATTGTCTGGATTAAATTTTTCTGGTTCCTTATATATATTGGTATTTCGATGAACTACATATGGCCCTACAATTACTGTCGTATCTTTAGGTATAGTGTATGGTCCGGAAGCCAACTTTACATCGGCATTAATTTTACGTGCAATTAGAGGAACGGGTGGGTAGAGACGCATAGTTTCTTTTATAACTCGTTCCAAATAGTGCATATCTACTGTATCTGCATATGTACATGGACGATTCATATCTGTGCCAAAAATAGCCTTTTGTTCCTCATATACTTTATCCTGTACATCCTTGTGTATACCCAAAAGACATAGTAAGAAACTAGATCCAGCGGAAGTTGTGTCATGACCCTACAAAACACATGAGAATAAACAATCAAATCGATTGAGTTATATATAAAAGCAACAAACCTCAAACATTAAAGTATTCACTTCATCAGTAATATCCTTTTCGGTCCATTCATTACTCGGATTTTTTGACATTTCAAGCATCGCATCCAATAACGCCAAACGCCGTTTTGCACCTCAACATAAAGATTTAAATGTTATCGCTTGATTAAACTTAATATTGAACATTTTTACCAACATCATTCTCATCAATTTCGTCTAAATCGTCTCGAAAACCATCCTGTTTTCTTTCTCCACTTTTATTTGCATCCTTTGTGTCGAAAATTCCATCAGATTCCACATTGAAATTCTTGATACGTTCGGTAATAACTCGTTGTGTGAGTGCGAGTATACTTGATAGCAATTCATTGAGTTTTGTATTAAGTTTTGTCAGTTTAAAAAATATATCGAAATGATAATTTATTTGAGTTTGTCGTTTATGGATTATATCACACATATCGATCACAGCCTTTGCATACTTGGCGCATTCACTTCCACTCGGCAAATTTTTAATACCCATAACCGTACTCAGTAAGATTTCCACTGTTACTTGACTCATATGTTCATGAACGTCTATCTCCTTACCAGTAAGTTTTGCAAATTCCTGTACCACATTTTCGGAATATTCTACAAATTTGGGCACAAAACTTTTCAGTATACTTTGGTGGAATGTTGGCGCTATCATTTTACGATGATGTTGCCAGTGAGCACCCTTACTAATTAATAAACCATCACCAAACCACGGTTTGAAAAAGCGATATTCTTCAGACTTTTCCAAGTGTTCTGAACTACTAAGAATTATTTCAACATCGACTGGATTGGCAATGAATGCTACAAATCGATGTACACTAATAGCCCATCCTGTGTCACCATATTTACGATAGAAAGCCAAACAAGTACGCATGGTTTCTATAAAAAAAAAATTATACAATATTTAGTCATAATGTATAAGGCTTAAACGTAATATACGTAAATGACAAGGTATTTAAAAATCTGTTATTCTTACCACTACTGCTGAGTCCAATAATGTGATGTGCATGACCAATTAGTGGCAACCTCGGTGCTGTTGGCATATTTGCCAATAATTTATAGGCGCGACAATTTCGAAACCATAGTTCATAGAGTAAAATTATTAGGAGCACTGCAACAGATGTGACATAAATAGGCAACAATAAACTCATTTGATTAGTTGTTGGCAAATCTTGACTATAGCTTTGATTTAACCTCTCCATTGTTGCAATAGCACCATTCAGTTTAGTCAGCTAGTTTGTACTGAATATTTCATGGAGTTATATTTCGCGTTCTTAACTCTGTATTGCATACATGATGACATATCTGAAGCCATATATAATTTAAACGAACTTCAATGATTTAAAAAGCATTATTTGCATATCAGAACTGGACTTATGGTAATAAGGGTCAATTTTACGTTATATCTTGATTAGCTAAACTATAGTTATTAATACATGAATAATATATCATTTTGTATAATTATTAATTTGCATACACTAAAGCTTATAAATAAAATGAATATTTCAGTCTATACCGCATTATTAAGTACTGTATTAAACCATAAACTTAATATATATACTAAGTTCGACTAAAGGTCTTAAACTTCCACATTAGCTTGTACAAGAAGACGTTCACTTAATTGGTTAGTAGAAAATCACAAAAATAATCTTACTATCCCACCTTCACTCTTCAACATTTTTAATTTTTTCACTTCACTTTCTCAGACACTTCCCTGAATCAAACTTTGTAATGAACTGCATTATCTATGTTCTCATTATTTCTGAAGACCCTTTCTCTCAATTTTATTCTTTTTTTTTTGGAAGCAACCAGAAATAATCACATAGAATTTCTGCAATTCTTAGACCACAATAGTATTGTTATTTGTTAACAGTTTAAGCTGACGTGATATCGTGATGAGGATAATATGGACGTAGTTCCTTTTCCCTGGTTTTTCAACAAATTTTCAAAAATTGGTCAAAATCAGTACATCAGTATATGGTAAATGGTATCAGTACATTATTTAGAAGTTACCGTCTGTCCACTTTTCAGAGACAGAACAACTATAACTTTTCTCTTAGTGAAGTCAACTGACATTATTTCTTTAGTTGCCTAATATATGAGGTTTAATCTAATATCTACTAAATCCAATGTTGATTGAAAACTATTTATACTCCCCGCAAATTTATAAAACTGCAAACAATACATATTTATTCACACAAGAATGTGAAAAAAAATTATATATTATTTTTTTATCTCTTTTGTTTCGAATTTTAAAATTGTTTTTATTAAGCGAAAGTGTCAGAAATTAGAGAACTATTTCTTAATCAATGTAAATTATATGGAAATTATGCCATTTTTATTAGAACTGCTTAAGTGCGAAGGGTAAATACACCACTGAAGCCATTTGTCAATTTTAATATGAATTAATGTAGAAATTCGCATTAGCATTGCATTTTTCTGTCTTAAATCAAGAAAAAATATATAAACATTTTATGATAACCACTGATCGGGGTATTAAGTTACGCATGCAACTTCTGGGTCCAACACTAAATGGTATACAGTCAAACTTCCATAACTCGAACTTCTCTAACTCGAATTTTCTATAACTCAAACCAAAACCAGTGCACAAAGGTTTAAGAGAGCAAATTACTTACCATACTACTTCCATAACTCGATTTTCTCTATAACTCAAACAAAAATTTTGTTTCGTACCGATAAGAGAGGGAGAGTTCATTCTATAAGTCGAATTTTTGTTTTAAGTATGAAACCATTTTGCTGTTAGGGGAAATCCCTTTTTCCAAACTAGATGTTTGATTTTTCTTTCTTATGTTGCTTCTTTGTTTAAAGTAAATAAATAACTTCCAATACTACTCTTAACAACTATATTGACCTTAACAATGAAATTTGTATATCAAGCTTTCCTACTCATGACGATATTATTGAGCGCTATAGTTCTTAATTACTTAATCCAATTCTAAGCGCAATGAAAAGTTATGATGGTTCGGTGTATGTAATCGTTCATTAGCCTTCCAAAAATGAACTAGAAAACTCATTCAATATTCTGAATTTATATTTGCAGACGAATGATACTACAAATGATGATCACTATAAGAGTATGAATGAAGTGGAATCTCTTTTTACCGAAAATAAGAAAAAATATTAGTCTCAAACCCTAATTTCCGAATATTTTACTTCACTATAACTCATAAACAAATATCTTAAAATGTAATTCTAGTTTCTTTCAAAACTAAAAAAAAAAAAATTCTCTGACTCGAAGTCTCCGTAAGTCGAACCTTTTCTTTGCAAAATTGGACTCCGAGTTATGGAAGTTTGACTGTATAACAATAGTAGTGCCGCTTGGAGACTTCTTCAGGTAGAAAATTGTATGGATTAAATTTATCTGGTTCCTTATATCCAACGGATATGACGTAAATAGGCAACAATATATTCAATCGATTAGTTCTTGACCAGTCTTGATTTTAGCTTTGGTTTAATCTCTCCATAGTCAGCTATTTTGGATTAAATACTTTATGCAGTTCAATTTTGCATTCTAACACACTAAGATTTAATTTGGTTGCATATATTATGATGTATTTGAAATAATAGGTAAATAAAGCCTATTGCAATGATTCCCAGACCATTATTTTCATTTAAGAACTGGACTTATTGTAATAAAGCTCCATTTTGTACTGCAGAATTGATTTTGTATAATCATTACTTTGTGTTAACATTTGTACACTCTAACGCTTATATGTACATATATACAGAAGATTCCAATTTATCCGTATCATTAAGTGCTGTATTAAACCATAAATTTAATATATATACAGAGTTTGACTTAGGGTCCTACACATCCACATAAGCTTATGTAAGGAGACTAACAAACGTTCACTTGATTGGCTACTGCAAAAATTTAAGAAAAGAAGTTTAATCTCACAACTTTAAAATTTCTCGTAATTTCAATTTATTTTTGAAGCCGGCAGACCCACTTTCACTGCATCATTACCGATCCACTGCATCAGTAAATCAGTAAATTATTTATCTTCTCAACTTTATTCTCAACTTTATTTCTCTCAATCTTATTTATGTTTTTGAAGAAAACAGAAATTAATTTCTTCAATCCCCAAGATCGCAGTGAAATGATCCATTTCTTAGCATATGAGGTTTGTTAGATTCAGGTTAATTAAGCCTCTTTGGAGGCTCAACAGTTTGCATAATCATGATGTAGAAAATATTGATTTCCATTTTTCTAACACCAATTTTCAAAAACTTGTGACAATTAGGTATTAGTATACCACTTAGAAGTTACCGTCTATCTAATTACTTAAGTTATCTAACCTAAATGGATGGATTAGCTCCTTCTTCGCTTGATTTGCTGCTTCATTTCTGAATCTTATTTTTAGAGGTTAGACTCTTCAATCTCAAATTTTTGAAGAAAACATAAAGCAAAAAGCTTACATTTCCCTTTTTAAATTTTAATTAAAATTTGTAAAACCCATCGTATAGTTTCCTTCCAAAATCGTGTTGATTCCTTCTATATCCAAAATCATTGCTTAGTATTAATAATACAGCCTTGCATTTAAGTTCATTTCATCAACGAAGTGATTTAAGAATTTTTATATCTTATATTTTTATAGCTTACCGCTGAAACTGCTGGATTAAGAAACCATCCTACTATACCAATATAGACGCCAGTTTAGAAACTGACCAATCGATATTACTATTATCAGTAAAACTAACTATTTGTTGGAGGAATTATATGTCATTTGATTTTACTATTATTTTTAATTCATATATTATAGCTACAATCGTTTTTGTAATCCTTTCAGTCATATTATTATATTATTTTATACGCGTTCCTGTGAGGTTTATAACTTCCATTAACTATTGCCTAATTATAAACTCTACAGATTATTGCTCTGAACTGAATGAATACTTCATGGATTATTTAAAAAAGAATTCCAAAAAGATATTATAAATTTGACAACACTTAACTAAACAGTTAATATCTACACATATTAAAATTGTCATTATCGGAAACCACACCACGGCCAGTGTATTGTCGATATGACATATCTTACTTTAAAAATCTCATGATCCCAAACACTATTTGTGGCTCTCTTCCACCACTCTCCCACCACTTCGTTGATTATCAAAAAAATCGTATCGGCTTAATCAAATATATCTCTCGCGATCATCCACTATAGGAGGTATGAATAGTTTCCCATAGGGGTCATTGATTGAGTTTTCGGTGATATTCAAAAAAATCAATATTCAATAAAACAATATTTTGCAGTTGTTGACTGTATGCTTTTTATTGATAAGTTGTATCATTTCCAAAATAATTTTAAACCCCAAAAAATAGATATATATGTATGTGTATTAAACTTTCCTATAAATTTTTATATGCGATGATTTAATAAAAATTTTGGACACAGCAAAGCGCAATTAATTCCATCAAGCAAAACTATTTTCTATTAGAACAAAGCCGTTTACTTTATCATATTAGGCGAAAGCAATCTAAAAGGATATATACAAGCGGTTTTTCAAGATAATTACTATGCATTAAACTACAAGCTAAACATTCTTAAAACAGGGTTCTTAGATTCAATCTGATTAATCGCTGACACACTTAAGCGACGGCGTGTGTGCGTGGTTCCAAAATGATATTGAAACCGTTTTCCAACTTCAAAATAATATCAGCCTGTAGCTTGAAGTCTGACTCCTTCTCGTTCGAGTGTATTTTATAGTTACGGATAATAGTGGATAGCAACACCTTTAGCTTCAACATGGCGTATTTGCGACCTACACAACTTCTAGGACCAGCGCTGAATGGTATGAAGCTGTAGTAATGTCGATTAGCAGCACGTTCAGGTAAGAAATTGTCGGGGTCAAATTTATCTGGGTTCGGATAGATATCAGCACGACGATGCACCCAGTATTGCAACACAATTACAGTAGTGCCCTTCGGTACAGTATATGGACCAGATGCTAATTTAATGTCAGTGTCCAGACGTCTGGCAATTAATGGTACTGGTGGATACATACGCAAAGTTTCCATTATAACACGTTCTAAGTATTTCATTTCCATTGTGTCAGCAAACGTGCAATCGCGTAGCATGTTATCACCAAAAATAGCCTTCTGTTCTGCGTAGACTTTCTCTTGTATGTCCTTGTGTATGCCGAGCATACAGAGTGCAAAACTAGATCCAGCGGAGGTAGTGTCATGACCCTTAAGGATGTGAAAATTAAAGTGAAAAAAATAAAAAAATAAAAAACTGCTTCTTTTAACTTACTTCGAACATAATAGTATTCACTTCATCCATAATGTCCTTTTCGTTCCATTCAATTTCAGGATTCTTTGCCATTTCAACCATGGCATCTAACAAAGCCAAACGACGTTTGGCACCTGCAAGCAAAATTTCAAATAAAATTGTGGTATAGTTGTAAATTCAAGTCCATTTTTTTGCAAATTTCCAAAAATACTCACCAACATCATTTTCATCGATGTCATCCAAATCGTCACGAAGTCCTTCGTTTTTGTTGAGTGCCTTTTGCTTAGATACATCATCAACTTCTTCAATAATTGCGCGATTTTCGGCACTAAAGTTCTGCTTACGATCACTAACAACACGTTTAGTCATTCCTAAAATGATATTCATCATCTTATCACCTTTCTCACGCAATTTGGTGAAATTATAAATCGCATCTAAACGATAGAACAATTTGACTTGACGTTTGTGTATAATGTCGCACATATCCACAACGGCTTGTGCGTATTCGAAACTCTTATTGCCTTCTGGTATTTTTTTCACACCCATAGCTGTAGTCAACAAAATCTCCACAGTAGTTTGGGACATATAATCATGCACATCAAAAGATTTTCCAACTTCTTTACGCATACGATCCACCACAGCCTGTGAGTGTTGCACAAATGTAGGTACAAAGCTCTTTAGGATACTTTGATGGAAGGTTGGAGCAATCATTTTGCGATGATGACGCCAATGGTCACCTTTGCTGATCAAAAGACCATCTCCGAACCAAGGTTTAAAGTAACGATATTCTTCGGCTTTTGTTAAATGATTATTTGTACTGAGTATGATTTCAATATCGGCAGGATTGGTTAGGAGAATAAGCAAAACATTACCCAACCAAGCTCTTAAAGTTTCACCGTATTTATTGATATAGACAATACCACGCTTCATAATCTCTGCAAAAGGCAATTTATATCATTCTTATATTATTCTTACAAAATTAGTTAAGTGAAAGGTTACCCGCATTAGACAAGCCATATACCAAGTGAGCATTGCCAACGAGAGGCAATTCTGGTGGAGTTGGTATATTCTTGGTCATCTTGTATTCACGTGTATTGCGATGCCAGTATTCATAAAGTGCGATCACAACCGCTGTACCAATAAGCGCAGTTATTATTGGACTAAATCCAGTCGCGCCTCCCGCTTGATTAAGCGTTTCCTTCACAGTTTCAATGGACATTTTGTAATTTGTTTCTTATATCCTTTCAGATCTTAGTCCTCTTCACTATATGAACGGTTATATGAAATTTCTCACTCCGATATAACAATTGTAAATCACTTCAATATACACTTTTAATTTGATTTCACTAAAGCCGCCGTCCTGTTACACGGACAGTTCCAAACTGAGTTCAAACCAGACTGTACCTTGCAATTTTATTAATTCGAATCGATTTCTGCATACGTAATTCGGTTTCGACTAAAAGTCAATTAATTCATTAAATCCATTTGTTATGAAATTAAATTCTAATTTAGTTTTTTCGTTCTTTGTCTTTAGGTTTAGTTTGTCGCATTTTATGGAAATTACCACACACATTGTTACACTCGAATCAATATTCATTTCGAAAACTATGGAACTATGGAACTGTGGCAGACACTTATGTCTTCTAGCGATCACGTCATTGAAGTTATATGAAAAAATCAAAGAAATAAAATTAATTAAAATTGAATTCATTTCACTTAATTTTGTAAATTTTGGTATTACAAATATTTTTGCAATGTCAATATAATATTATTTAACAATATTTATTAGTTAATGTATAATATTAACAATATTTTGACTAACAAATTATTATACAAATCTACAAATTATTATATAAAAAAATAATATATTAATATAATGTTATCTAGGTCAACATGTGCTGTTTTTCATCACTATTTGAAATAATTTTGACCAGACAGTGGGTGCCTTCTTTAAAGTGTTTACACTGTAATCCTCTTGAACCATTTATTAAATGGCGATAAGGTAGTTTCCACTGTATTTAAAAAATCATATCATAATCACGGGATCATAGGTTATTAATTAAACTAGTATTACGAGTATGTGAATTCAACAATGGAATATACCGATTATAAACAACTTATACATCAAGGTCAGTTTTTCCTACTACACACTTTCTTCGCTTATGCTAAGATCACACTTGTTAATCACAATTATCCATTGACATCCATGACATTTCCAATTCTATTTCAAGTCATATGATTATTTTCAAATTCTAATAGACTAGATGGCAGACTCATTCTTCCTTTTCGGACATCACAGTAGTTATCGTCTTTTAAATCGTTTCTATGCTATTTTGATTTTCATCATTGCGGTGTTCATCTCTGTTAATACGTGGACATCCAATGGTGACTAACAGTTCGCAGAGTTTTGAAAAAATGATCCAGGGAAAAAGAGAAGAAAAAGTCATCGTCGAAATAAGTACGATTTATCTATGAGGCCAAAAATCCACCTTTTTCTAAGAGAGCTGTCGAAAGCTGTGGAGAATTGTATATCGGTTGAAGAGAATCATGTTACTGAATTAAGTCGAATTTTTATGTATAAAGAGGTTCGCTAATAATAATTAATTAATCTATAATTGTAAAGCACATAGAATTTAAACTAGTCTCAATCTCACTAGTATTCGAAATATATAGTATAGTTCTAATCACGAGATTAGGTAAGGTTGAGTGGGCTTGTGCTGATAAAACTATCAATAATCCCACTCGGAAACATACCTATATTGCCCATTGTGATGCTCTTAAAGTTGCCTAAAAAGGTCGCCTTACACTATCTGCTATTATCTGAATGTGCTATACTTGGTTATACTTTTGTTATACTTTTTAAACCGTTGATCTTCAAGATATAACTCCGGAGATTCAAATACTTCACTTTTGTTATCTTTATCAGGCCAGTGAAGAAACTGTTTTCACGACATTGATGTCTGTAGTCTACAAACTGGTAGTAGTCCCACATAAAAACAAGTTATTATTAGTAGTGAAAGGGATAGTAAACTGCGACCTAAAATACCTATTGTGCACCTTATTCAGAATAGAGTGCTTCTCTAAATCCGATTTCTTTCATAAAAGACAGTATAGAGCCTGTATTTCCTAGCCTTGAATACCTATGCTCCATGGAATACCCTCCTAGGTGTTTCTTTCGCTTGTGCATCAATGCTGGGCATTCCCCTAGCACATAATATGCGATTTCCCTCTTTTCTCTGCAGTATCCAACTGTAAGTCTGAGTTGGATTAGATTCCCAATTTTGTTAGGTGATTAATCAATCTGCAATGACCGGTTAATATTCCGGTAATAATTCGTAAGTTATTCTTTGTTAGTTCTATGTAATCCTTGAAACGTGTTAGGTTGTAAATCCCTGAAAGCATTTCGGATTGAGATAATCTTGGTAATTCTTCTCAATATTGTTCTCTTTCCTTTTTCTCTGCGCCGTTCATAAGAAGGAATAGAGTTCCTTTGCCTAGACCACAGAAAGGTCTATCATTACTAAAGCCGCGCATCTACTTGCGAATTTGTCTGCTACTTTATTACCTTGCACCTGATTGTTCCAGTCAAATATGTTCAGCTTGTCAATGCACTCCAATATCAGTTTGGATGTTACCTGATATGGCATGAGTGCCATTATAGCTGGCTGACTATCAGTCAGTATTGTAATACCATGATTCCAGTTTTTGCGTTCAATGTTTAAAATGGCGCATCTATCAATCTTCACTTGAAAAATGGTTATATTTCTTCCCAGTGCTTCGAAGTATCTTTTGCCTGGTCCATATACATCAGCTCCAGCTCCTTAACTGGTGAAAAAACCGTTTGTGTACCATCTTATCATTAATAATTAAGTAATTATTGAATTCTATATTTTCTACATTGTAACAACCTCTGCAGAATCCGCTTAACGGAATACATCACCTCTGCATCGTCATTACAATGGCTCAGTACACATTCCTGTCTTATCAGAATCATAAGGTTATAACAATCTCACGATAAGGTCACGCAGTCATCACGATTAGACCACAGTTAATGTGAAAATAGCTGGTACGTGATGTTATGAATGTAATAGATTATGTAAATAGATGTAAATGGAATGTAAATAGATTATTCATTAAATGTAGTGGCGTATATATAACAGACAGTTTAAACTCCACATCCCTTTCAAATCTAATTTACACTACGTATTTTGCACTTGATATAGTAGATTTTTTAATTAAATGTTTTGATATGAATGTTTTCATAAGTTTTCAAAACCCCCTCCCCTTAAATGAGTCGCCATATACCTTCTGATTGAATAATTGACACATGTGTTTTTAATGAAAAATAATGACTTAGTTTTATAATTTAGGATTTAAAAAAGTTATTTGCATGTATCTGTGACTAAGATCGCATCGAGTACTTTCTCAATACCGGAATAATGTTCGGGTACTATTATTAAGCAAATTCGAAAGCTGATATCTCATTTTATGTGTAACTGTGATCTTTAAATAATCACTCTCCACTTGCAAACATCTATAGTATAACATTGACATACTTAATAATACTATCATCCGATACTTATATGATCTATTATTAAACATTTTTTTTTACTTAAAAGAGGGAACTAATACCAAACCTCTTGTTTGAGTGTTTAACTAATGTGCCGCATAATAGAGAAAGAATTTGATAAATTTAGCAAAGCAAAAAAAAAATAAATTTGAGAAAACGAAAAT